TAATTTGATAGTTTGTGAGCCAGTCAAACATAAGCCTGGCATTAGCTATATTTATTTAAATATAATAGTTTTTAAGTAAGTTAACTATCTCTGAACTTTAGTTAAACTGTATATCTTTAAAATGAAAACTTCAATTTCCTTAGGTGATGGATCAGAAAGAACATAAACTGAATGGGAAGGTGATTGATCCTAAAAGGGCCAAAGCCATGAAAACAAAAGAGCCTGTTAAAAAAATTTTTGTTGGTGGCCTTTCTCCAGATACACCTGAAGAGAAAATAAGGGAGTACTTTGGTGGTTTTGGTGAGGTATGTGATAATATTTTCACCCAGTTTTTGTCAAAATTAGTGTGAATGTAATTGTCACATAAAAGGGTTTTCACTGGATTTTCCAGCAAATTATTTTGAAATTTGGACAGATTATGTGATTTGTTTTGAAATAAGGATGGTATAAATTTCTTTATTAGCAAATTTTTGAAGGTTAGATGAATGAATTTTCTAGTTTATTGAGAAACTGTTGTATACATAACATTGCTGGGCACAGGGTACATACAGATGAAATAGACATTCTTATCTTGGAATTTACTGAATTAGTAAAAGAAAGAAAACTAAAACAAGAAGAAGAAATCCAGATTGAATTACGTGAGCCGTAGAAGGAAATGGTTCAGTTGAGAATAGGAAAAAAATAAACTTAGAAAAGAATGTAGTGCTTTCTGAATTTAAGTACATGTATATGTGCAAATTTTAAGAGGCTAACTAGACTTTGAGATTCCTTTTATGAATTGATTTAAAGCTAAAATGAGAAATTTGTGGCTTTTGGCTCCAGGTACACCCTGCAGACATCCTTGGTTTGATTCAAACAAAATGTTTTGTGTATTTTGTTGTTAGTATTTAGGAATTGAGATATTTTCCACAAAAATCTGGATATCTAGCTTTTCTTAAATAGTTGTAGGAGCAAGCAGCATTGGAACTGCCTTTTTGCATGGTGATAACCATCTAAGATGTGTAGCAACTTCCACCTTTGGTTAGATGCTCTCCAGTTTTCAGTGATCCTCACCATTCTCCATTTTCTCCCTAATGCAGTGACTTAACGTTTTTTTTTTAAAGTTGACTGTTTTCCTTTTGCTTGTTCTTGGTAGGCATTTGAATTGTGACCCTTGGTTTAGGTAGTCAATGTCAGTACCCTGTAAAGCTTTATTTTTTAATGGATAGGTTTAAAGACTTTGTAGGTGGAGTGCGTATTCTAATTTGAAGACTTAAAAAGATTAGAACAAACAGGGAGAGAGAGCACTCAATAGAGCTTGAGGGCCAAATGTATGTTTTCTTTGTGTATTTTTCCCACTAAACTTATGCTCTTACTATCAATAACATGCACACTAAGGTATTAAAACTTATTTTTTGATATCAGGTTGAATCCATAGAGCTCCCCATGGACAACAAGACCAATAAGAGGCGTGGATTCTGCTTTATTACCTTTAAGGAAGAGGAACCAGTGAAGAAGATAATGGAAAAGAAATACCACAATGTTGGTCTTAGTAAAGTAAGTTAAGCATCCATTTACTTACAAAGAGTATACATACAGCTGTTGGAGGGAGTTTAATCATCTGAACTTTCTATAAAGGCTTCAGGTTGTGTGTTTGTGCTTTAAAGATGTCTCATTGGCCCCTTATTTATCAAAGTAATTTTTTTTGACTTTTTGCTTTTACTGGGGAGCAAGAGGGAAACATTTAAATGTATTTCGTAGAAGCTTTACAAGAGATACTCTTTGAGGACCTGACAAATAGAATGTAGTAGCATACTCAAGCAAATACTTCTTGAATATATCAGAAGTGATTATTTCTCGAAGTACTGATGATTGAATTAATTAATAAACTGATTTTGAGGAAAGTATCAAATGAACCATCTGTATGTTTTAGACAGTATTGGCTATTCTGGTTACTGTAAACTGATTTGTTTTCTTGAGTCAGTGTAATAACATAATTTTCCTCTTTGTAGTGTGAAATAAAAGTAGCCATGTCGAAGGAACAGTATCAGCAACAGCAGCAGTGGGGATCTAGAGGAGGATTCGCGGGAAGAGCACGTGGAAGAGGTGGTGGTAAGCTAGAGCCTAAGTTTACTCTATCTTAAGCTTTTCTACTTTTTAATTATCCTGAAGTAAAGATCTTTGCTGATCTTCTGACTTTAGTGAACCTATTAATGTGCTGCAGGCCCCAGTCAAAACTGGAACCAGGGATATAGTAACTATTGGAATCAAGGCTATGGCAACTATGGATATAACAGCCAAGGTTACGGTGGTTATGGAGGATATGACTACACTGGTTACAACAACTACTATGGATATGGTGATTATAGCAGTAAGTACTATACTTTTTATATTAACTGCTATTTGACATTTATTTTGTACAAATTTGGATAGGTAGAAAGGTTAGTATAGCTTTGCCAAGCACAAACTTCTTCAGGTTTCAAATTCCTGGAAACTTGAAACTGCAGCCATTTTATTGCTA